AAGAAGAAGAAGAAGAAGAAGAAGAAGAAGAAGAAGAAGAAGAAGAAGAAGAAGAAGAAGAAGAAAGAAACTCAAATCCTAGCCTTCTGAGGAGAAAATAGCAAAACTTGTATACCTGTGTCAATCATAAATATGAATACCAATATTATATGATAATTGAAAGAGAAATTTTATTAAGATTGGCATCTATTTCCCTGAGTATAGACCATCTCAAGTGATATAAGCCCATTACATTTACAAATAATTCACAGGCAACACAATTACAATCATATTTTATGTCTGTACTTGGGCTATTTATGAAATTGATCATACTAGAATTTTCTGGATTTGGGACAGGTATGGTTTTACCTCTGCTATAATATTTATTATTCATGCTAACTTGGGTGAGTTACTTAAAATCCACTTCCTTATCTTAAAAATAAGATATAGTAAAAAGTCTCATTTCTTTGCCTTAAAAATACGGGAATAATATTGCCAAATTCATAGTACAATTGTGACAGTTACAGAAGGAAATAGATTTTAAAGGGCCTGATACACGATGAGTTTGTAATTTGTGTAAACATTATTCATGTAAAATAAATTGCTGCTGCAGAACAAGATAAAACTAGTATAGATCACCAGCTTTCTCCCAGAGTCAATGCTGGATTTGTAAGAATAAAATAAAGTATCTTCTACCTCCATCAGTAGAAGATAGTAATGACCTGGTATGGTAGGAAAATGGCAGTCTGGGAGTAGGGTTCCACTTTTGGGATACATGTTGGAAGCCAGCTTCTTAGTTAAATTATCTTCTCCTGTTGCAAGCTAGGAAGATTACTATATGCCAGTAGTTAATATTATTATTGCAAGTCAGAGAAACCTGTGCATGAGCATAGCGGTACAGAGGTGGATGGGGGGCAGTATCATAGTGTTGGCAGAGCCTGTTTGGGGTAAGGAACCGGTAATATCTATTCCAGGTCAACTCGTAGCTTTTGAGCTCTAATCCTCCCCGCCCTCTCCCCCACCCCAAGGCCCAGGCCCAGAAAACTTTATGAGGTAGTGCTTTTTTTAAAAAAGAAAACTTTCAACAAGCAATCAATCCTAAGTAAATAATCTAGTGCCGAAAATATAAGCAGAAAAGCTGCCAAACTCATTTTATGAGACTGGTACAATCTCGATTTAAAAACTAGGTAAAGACAGTATATATATTTAAAAAGGTTCCTTTTGTTTTGAGTACAGGTTTAAAAGTACTAAATAAAAAAAATCGCTAACCAAATCTACCTGCTTATTTAAATACATACATCTAGTTATATGTGTGTATGTGTAGGAGAATAACACCATCATCAATCACTTAGATTGAAGAATAGAAAACCATCTGTCCTGTTAGCAGTCAATAACATGTTTATTAATCAAATATTCACTTAGCATGCACTCGGTATTATGCCAAGTGCTGGCATCTCCATTGTTCTCGTCATTAATTCTCTGGCAACCCAACCCAGGAGCAAAGACACCCGGGAAAGAAGCTAGCAAGGTCAATGTGAGTTACTGACAGGTTTCTATGTGATACATAAAAATGCTCAAAGATTAGTCTTCTTGTTCTGGCCAGGGTAGGCAACTGAGAAGGATAAGAAATGTTATCAGAGCTATCCTTATTTTATCCTTAATATCATCATATCTCTTCCTTCATCTCTGCATTTTGGACAAGCCTTCCCGATGACGCCTTCACTCACGTGGCAACCCCCTTGCCCTCTTTAATAACATATAGACGTACATGCATACACTAGCACATGGTACACCCTACCTCTTTCCCAGAGTCCGCCCATCTCCCTCTTCCGTCTTGATACACTTGTTTTCTCAACTTTCTCCTTTTCCCTCAAGCACAGAGTTGAAGTGAGCTGGTGTGGAGGGTTGGAGTTGTATGTAAATTCACAGATTTTAAGATCCAAATTTATATATTTTTCATTTAAAATTTTGTCTATGCTCCTACGCACCACAGGGTAAGCAGAAGTAGTAAAGAATAGAGGTAACAATTCGAATATTTCGTTTTCTCTTGGAATATAGGTAATACTCTGGTAGTTCTGCCCCTCTAGCATGTACCATGTCACTTCAATATCTAGCTTTAAAATCGGTGGGCACATCATGTACAGCTTGATTGAACTGAACTAAATATAAGTTGAGCAGGACTATTCTCATTGCTGCCATGAAATAGCTACATGATCACAGGTACTTCTGAGGCATTCTCCCCATTTCTCAACTTAAATCAGAATGACAGATGTTAGGGAGAATATACTTTAGAGAAGAAACTCTTTGAAAATAAAAAAACTATCATCAAAAATAACTGGATTGATAAATGAATACGAATGGATTTTTGTTTAATAAGTCAAATGCCCAATTGAAAGAGACTATGAACGACACCAAACATTATTTATCTCCTTATGCAATTGAGTATTGACCATACATTAATTTATCCTAAGTTTGATTGAACAAATATATTTTTATCACATTTATATTATTGAGTTGACCATATTTGTTGTCTTTCTATTGCTACTAACAAGAAATTTCTTTATTTAACTCTCTGTTTAAATCTAGATTCTTCCATTTTTGTCAGGATTCTAATTACAAATTTAAAAACTTTCCTACTTACCCTCTTCTCTTGAAAACTGTTAAAGGTACACTTAGAACTATAATAAGAAATTTAGTTTCTAATATTAGCACACATTATCATATTAAAGTTAATCCAACCCCATTTTAACTTCGGTTCCTCTTATGCTTCTTTTCAACTAAGGATTTATTTAGATAGAACCATTAGAAATACAGTCCAAAGTAAATATTAAAATAAGTTGGTACACAGCAAATTTTTGTACGTGCTAATTATAACTAATAAGTGAAGCTTTTAATAAATATTCATATTAATTTACAATCTCAGCACATATGAAACATTATTAGTTAAAAGTGATCACAAATGAAGCTAGAGCTTTCCTATGAAAAGATGTAAATAAATTCCCTTTATGGAGAGTGTCCGGGACTTCTAATAGAACAAGCAGGTTTATTATAACAAGTTCTTTTCACCTGGAATAAAGAACCCACTCTTTCAGGGAAAAAAATATCTATTTACTTGTAACATATAAAAATGTAATAAGAAAATGTAAAAGTGAATAATAAATCTTAGAATCTGAAAACTTGTTTTTGTACTTAAACACTTGCCATCTTTCAACTATGATTTAATGATACACTACCTGTGAAAAAGTTGGTAGTTTTTATGTCTATGGAGTTTAGTATTAATTTGAACTCAGTGGAACTTTGCTATGGCTAATTGTATCATTAAAATACATTTGAAATATAACATGAATTTGGAAATTCAGTCTAGTGATTAGCTGTTTAGTGTTTTTAGTGGCTTCCTTTCTAGAAAAGTTTATTTATGTAACTCCTTAACCTTTGAGAAATTGTGAACACTTAGGTCAATCACTGGCATCTAACCAGGGTGGGCCCTGGGAAAATTGTATTATGAAAGCAAGGCTTATCTTGAGATCCTTTCCAAGTACCCCTTTTTTCATATTTCTCTTCCAACTTTCATGGATTTGTCAGCCAGATGTTCCCAGGGGCCCTGGTACTGTTCAGTTCCTCTTTCCCTTACTCCAACTGCCTTACTCTGACTGTATTTTGGTCCCATATTCTTCAGAAATCTCATTGGTAGATTCAGTTCTTCATTCTTTTTTTCTATGATACACTATCTGCGGTGCATATTCATTCCAATATAGCATGTGGATGGGATTTTGAAAACAATACGCTCATAGTAAATCCCTAGGTTAATGTGATACCTCTTCCTGGAAATACTTGTGCTTTATCAGTATTAATTATTTTTTAATGTAACTTCAGCTCTTTACAATTATGACAAAGTTACGGGACTCTGAAGTCTGAGGTGCATAAAAGCAAATATAAAAGCTTTTAAAACTTTTAAGCTAAAAGTTTTAAACTTTAAAAGTTTTAAAAGCTTAAAAGCTAAAATATGATTTAAATAACATATTTCCAAGACATGCTCCAATCAACATATTATGTTTGATTATTTTTCTTTCTATATATTTATTTCCTTAATGTGTTACATGGTTTTTGAACATCTCCGCAGTTTCCCTGTTTGGACCTATAGACATTGTCTCCCAAACCATATATTTTGTAGCACTGTAGGACCATTTTACTTACGTGTTCTGATTGATGATTCCTGAAATGCTACATAATGAAAATTTAACATCTCCTCTGTCTTCCAATTTCCTGTTATTATAAATGGGAAACTTATTCCCTCAAGACTCAAAGCTTGAATTCTTCATTGTGTGTTTCCCTTGGGTCTTCCCATTTACCTGATTTTTTAAAATGTTTCTCATCATTTTTCCATAACCACTTCCAGATATCTTTTCTATTTTATTCATCAGACCATGATCCTCCTGTCCCTCTAAACACCAGCCAACTTTATCTTATGTGGAGAAAACATATATAGTGACTTAACTCTTCAGATGCCACAACAAAAGTTGAATTCACCCAATAAAAGGGATGGGTTACTAAATGAGCAACAAATTTAGTATTTATTTATTTCCAAAAAATAGCCATATTAAAGTGGACTTATGTTGGAATTACTGTGTGCCAGGCACTAAAATAACCTCTTTAAAATTATAATCTTATTTGATCCCAACAATCATATGAAGCAGGTATTATAATCCTCATTTTATGGACTAAGAAATGAGCCACATAGAGCTTAAGTAAACCCTAGGGTCTCATACAGCTGAAAAGTAAAGGAGCCAGGATTCTAACACAGGTGATATCTCCTAATCACCATATGATGTCTCCATATTGAGTATCTACCATGTGTAATTCTGTGCTACCTGCTAATGATTCACTATCCCACTTACCCACAGCAAATTTGACATATTTTAAAAGTATTATTTCACAAATCAAGCATACTTACAAGGAATATCCCTGTATCCAATCTCCAAAGCATGAAAATAATTCATAAATTCCCTAATTGGAATTTTAAAAGCTTCAAAGAGGCCCATGTCTTCAAAAAGTCTGTAAGATACCTGTTAAAAAAAAAAAAAAGACAAAGCCTTATGAAACATGAAACATCTCTACGTGTGTGTCAGACATAAAAAGAACGATGGTAAATATTGGTAACTGAAAACACTAAATGCCTTTTCAAAATCTGAAGGATGTCCTTTTAAATTGGTTAAAATGATAATTATCAAAAGGCAGGCTATATATTGAAACTGAGGACTTACTTCCATTGTACATGTCTCTTTAAAAATCTTTTGAAATTAGACTTTTTCCACTTAGTCTCAGCCAAAAGGTGATGTATTGGAATGTTCACATTAAATCATTTAGCTGTCCTAAAGTTGTACTATGGCAAAAATATACGCATATTTTCCATAACCAAAATTTCATAATTTTTGTTCTTGTAAACTCAAAAGAAAAAGTCTCAAAAAGTTCTACTGAGCAAGTCATCTGAAGCTGCATTTGTTCAAAGTTTAATGTCTGGGAAATTGGGAAAGTAAACAGTGACTAATAAGGATCATATATCAATATATTACTCTGTTTTTGGAACATGACTGGAACAAAAGATACATTATTGAATTTTGCATGAATCTAATTGTTAATTATCCTTAATCTTTTTATTGTCTACTGGTATCCAGGACTCTTAGAAAACATTGTGTGGCAATTTTGGTCAAGTTGTTTTCTCCCATTCCCAGCTCACAGAACTTCAAGGGAGTGGTTGGTACCTGTAATGAAATTCTGTACACTGTCATTTGTGCTGTAAAACCGACTGCTATCATAACCACTTTTCTACTAGGTCCGAATCCTCATTTGGAGAACTTGAACATATAATAAGTCAAGGTGTTTTATGAAGATATGAGAAGCAATTGAAGGAATGTAAAAACCCTGGGCTTCTGATATGGATAAATCTACTTTGGAATCCTGGGTTGAATATTTACTAGATGACTTTAGAAGAGTAGCATATCCTCTTTTAAGCCTTAGTTTCTTCTTCTATAAAATACATATTTTTTAAAAAACCTGCACTAAATTTACTGTGAAGATTAAGCTTTTGAGAGTCTGTGAGATATACATCAAATATAAAATGAGCTGAGATGTGTGTCTCTATACCAGGAAACATACTCCCTAGTAAAAAAAAAAAAAAAAAACTAAAATAAAATAAAGAGAGAAAATGCTTCTTGGCTCATTGCCACATCCTGTGGCCCTGTTACAGGCTTATTTGCAGGAAAGATCACTCCCTCAAAGTTGCAGTTTGCCATGGGTTTCAGAAAGAAGATACACAATCTTCCAAGGGGATCCCTAAGGTATGAGGCTAAGGTGAATTGGACAGAGCAAGTACCCTTAAATCTGTCCTTAAGATCAGCTAGTGTGAGACATTGCTTAGCACTGAAAAGAAAGGAAGGGAAGAAGAACAGGACTCTCAACTCCTAGTAAAGTGCAAGGGCTGCCATTATATTCCTCAACATGGTGATGGACAGAATAGAGTCTAGCAGAGGCAAAATTGAATATTTTACAGATTTTGTAAGAATATTTTGTCTCATATTCCATCAATAATGTTAGTGTACCCCTAGACTAGACAGCCATATGTGCTTGTAGAATCAAACACTAGAAGAAAGTCCTGCTATCTTTTCCCTCCACAGATAAGGATCCTCACCCCAAACGAAGTTCCACATTGAGACATGTTTTGAGTGGTCCAAAGACAGCTCATCTCTGATACACTGCGTAGAAATCAGCATTTCAGTGATTTCTCTTCTATTGTTTTGCAGAGAAGTGTTAGTGGCCCCAATAAATCTGGGTTGGGTCCTGAATTCTTACCTAAGTCTGATATTCACAAGTTTGATGGTCCTTACTATCTCTGCTGTGATACTTACTCAAATTGATAAGAACACATCTAAAACATGTGAAGATAAGCTGATACACATTGTTGCACCATCCTCTTTATTAATTAAGGGTGTGTATTTCAATGGGTATTCCGTAGTACAGCAAATCCATCATTTGTTTCGTGGTTTGAAACATTTTCAAATTCTTAATTTCAACTATTTTCTTTCTTTTTCAGCAAAACAAATAATTATTTACGTGAAAAGCCTTGAAAGTAGTCTAGCCTAAAGAAAACAATACTCAGAGGCTGGTTGTGCAGCAACAGTATTATTCTATAACTGTATGTGATGTGTTTCTCAGAGCACTAAGAGGAAACACATTTTGGCACAATGTATAATCTTTGATAAGGTCTAAGCCCTGTAATATTCAAAAGTTTTTAAAAAGTCATTGAAAATAATTACAGACAATAAATTAATATCTCTAAATAGGCAGTTTTCTTCTTTTACGGGCTTATGTCAGATTTTCTTTTGCTTAATTCTATGAATTCTAGATCATTTGTCCCTTGTCTATGTATCTCCCTCCTACTTTGTCTTTAAAAATATATCATATTTTTAATTGTAGAATATGACATCCGACTCACTTGAAGTTTCAGTTTCTTTTGTTAACCCACCACCAAGGAATCTACAGTGTTCTAAAACTTCCTTTCTCCACACAACACCTATCCACAAGTGTGAAGAATTTACAGAGCTTTAAGCAACCAAGGAACTGTTTTTCCTATATTTAAATTAGTGTGAATGAATGCATTTCTTACCTGACTAAGAATACGGCCACATTTTCTTCCTATATTTTCCACTAAATCGAAAATCGGAAAATTCCAAGTATTTAGCTGCTCCATAATTGAGTCCAGGTTATCCATGACAAGAGGTTCGGGAGCAAGAATTGGTTTGTCCTGTAATGTTTAACATTAAAATACTTAAACAGTATGCAGTTTTTCTAAAGGGCAATTTGTGCTTTGCTAAATTCAGTAACAACTGTGGCTATCGGAAATAAATGACTTAAAACTCCAAGGTGAATAAGTGATTTTGCTTAAAAAAAGTCAAGATGAACAAGACATTGACCCCAAAGTAAGATGGAAAGGAACTAATACTGTTTCAGATATAAATTTTGCACTATTAGGTGCTTGCCTATCACTGGTCCATATACACTCCAGCAAAAACATGGATGTTTCTTCTATAAGTTAGTATAACTACTTTGGGTCTACTGTAAGGTTCTTAAATAAAGTTTTAAAGACTTCAGAATATTCTGTAATTGCATGTAAATTTATGTCTCTTCATAGTTATGTAAATTTTTTGGAGATGAGGGTTCCTTCCTTAAATTAAGCTCTCAAAAGAAATCCATGAGTAGGAAGACTTCATCATTCCTACCATTATTATTAAGTTTATATTAATGCTTTAAAATGGACATAGGATTAATGTTGCCACATTTTTTAGGGATTTTAATTTATTTCATGTGATCGACTGTTTCTTGAGAAACATGCACTATGTAAAAGTAAAGGTTTTTTATAATTGGTCCCAAACGAGGATGTTCTTAAAAGTACATTTGCCAAAAAAGAAAAAAAAAAAGATAATGAGGATAAGGAAACATATAAATTATTTTACATGATGATCTATCTGACTTAGAAATACAAACAGTAAATATAGTAAAAGAAAAATGGTAATAGCAGCCATTGATGATCACTTGAGAGTCAACAGTTTTCTACCACTTGCCACCTCCCCACAATGAAGCTGACTCAAATGTATGCTTCCATCCTCCTTAAATGGATCTTTTCAAATACACAAAGTAAGTAATCATTAAAGGACATTTTAGTAGGTGTCTAGTGCCAATATATGACTGACAATATTACAAGAAAAACAAATATTTGTTCATGTTCTAAGTCAAGGAGGTACTAGAGAAAACCAGCAGATGCCCTAAGTCAGTGAATATCTTCTTCCCTCCTTTCCTTCGTCTTTCTTTTCTTTGTTTATAAAATATTGTTTTAAGGAATGAAATAATACATTTTCCTGTATATACTATTTGATTGGGTTAAGAAATATCTGTAATCATTGTGTAACTATAAATGTTTATGTTTTTAATCACCAGATAATAGAACCATTAAGAGACCAATAATGCTTGGAAAGAGAAAACATACATTGATAAGTATGGGAAGGGCTGTAATACATGTGTAATCCGGATGAAATACATCTGTAAATCTCATGTTTCAGAGATTAATTTCTTTTTTTTTCTTTTTTTTTTTGAGATAGAGTGTCACTCTGTTGCCCCGGCTGGAGTACAGCGGCATGATTTCAGCTCACTGCAACCTCCACCTCCTGGGTTCAAGTGATTCTCCTGCCTCAGCCTCCCAAGCAGCTGGGATTACAGGTGCCTGCCACCATGCCTGGGTAATTTATTTATTTATTTACTTTTTTTTTTTTTTTTTTTTTGAGACAGAGTCTCACTCTATTGCTCAGGCTGGAGTGCAATGGCGCAGTCTTGGTTCACTGCAACCTCCACCTCCCAGGTTCAAGCGATTCTACTGCCTCAGCCTCCTGAGTAGCTAGGATTATAGGCATGCGCCACCACGCCCAGCTAATTTCGGCATTTTTAGTAGAGACAGGATTTCACCATGTTGGTCAGGCTGGTCTTGAACTCCTGACCTCGTGATATGCCCACCTCGGCCTCCCAAAGTGCTGGGATTACAGGTATGAGCCACTGTGCCCGGCCATGCCTGGGTAATTTTTTTGTATTTTTATTACAGATGGGGATTCACCATGTTGGTCAGGCTGGTCTCAAACTCCTGACCCCGCAATCTGCCTGCCTCATTCTCCCAAAGTGTTGGGATTACAGGTGTTAGCCACCATGCCTGGCCTCAGAGATTCATTTCTAAGCCAATATCTGTAACAGAAGCTGATCTCTCAAGTAAATGAGTGAGTTAAGTGATGATATGGGACTACCAGAAACATCATGGTCTCAGGAGCATAGGTGCTGCAAGCCGATGCTTTCCTCAGAGGCTCTCTCAGGCACTCTGTTTCGTCTTCATTCTGTACAATGTCACTGCTGTCACTGTTGTTATTGGTTTCATAATCAGAGGTAACTTGAGCAGTGTCATCTACAATTAAAAGAGAACAACTTATTACGAGATCCACAATGGGGAAAGGGGGTTCATTTAAGCAAATTTTGCTAAGATGCGTATGGTAAATATGTTTAGGGAAATAGGGCTTTCATGAGCTTACACTCCAAGAATATAGGATCATAGGGTGGAGAACATCACACATCTGTTAACAAAGTAAAACAGATGGAAATTATAATCTGTAATCCGCATGACATTCAATAATCCCTCAATAATATTTTTTAGATCAACATTTCATACCTTTAACAAATCCTAGGACTTTCTGTTTCTTTTTTCTCTATTTCTCTCCCTATACATTAAACCACTGAGTGACTATAACACTCTAGAATGGGCACGTGAGGTGGGAGAAATTGAGTTGACATACCCAGGAGCAAAGCGGTCTGTAGAGCACAGAGTGATGGCGTATGCTTGGGAGCATGGGAAATCCTATGTATCCAATCCCATTTCTTAGAATCCTGTGGCTTCCTTCCTTATCTGCCCTTTTTCACTGACGCCATTTCAGTCAGCAGTAAACTGTGCTAACTAAAAGACCAATCAGTAAATACCCAGAGTCTGAAGTCTATGCTCTCTGAGCTCCTATGATGATTCTCAAAGCTGAGTAAGGTGCCTGAGATTGAGTATTTGCTATGTTTTCGGAACCACTTAAAGTACTTCCAATGTCAGAAGTAGCAAGATAAAATAGTATTTCTATATAGTTCTATATATTATATACAATGGCCTCTTGTGTTTTAGAAATATACACATGTATAAATATATAAAAACATTTTGGAAAGCTTTGCACCCAAACTTTACCAATGATTAACTCCAGTGTGTAGGAGTACAGATGATTTTAATTTTCTCCCTTGTCCTTTTAAATCTGCAATTTAAAAAATCAGGCCAGGCGCAGTGGCTCATGCCTGCAATCCTAGCACTTCAAGAGGCTGAGGCGAGAGGATCACTTGAGGCCAGGAGTTTGAGACCAACCTGGCCAACATCATGAGACCACGTCTCCCGGCACCCCCCCCAAAAAAATCAGAAATGTAGGTCACCGTTTTGATCAGGAAAACAAAAATAAGGCAATTTCCATTTTGGGAAACAGAATCCAAAACAATGAATTACCTGTTCTACTTGGTGTCCGAGTGGCTACCCCACTTCTCTCCAGGGGCTCGTCAGCAGGATTCCCTTGGGAATATGGTCTGCCACAGCTAAAAAACATTGGAAAAGTCATAGGCACATACCATCTACGTCTACATTAAGATGAACAACAATAATCAAATATTTCTACCTTCTGCTTATTTGTTTTGTGAAAATATTCATTTTGTTTGATATATAAATGCTGATATGCAGTGTACTACTTTCTTTTTTGTGAGACAGTAGTCACTACAAAGGATTAGAAAGTTCATTTGACTCTCAGTCTCCTCCTCCTTTACCTAGATCCTATTTGAGGTGAAAGTGATGGTAAAATTTTGTTAGATTATTTAGAAATACTGGTATAGGCTGTGACTTACTTAGAGTGGCCATTTTACAGGTGTTGATCTGTATTTGGACAAGGGTTATCTGCCACAATAAATACCTCTGTGCCTGCTTAAAAGCCTCATTATGGGCCAGGCTGCTTAAAGGCTCATTATGGGCTCACGCTTGTAATCCCAGCACTTTGGGGGACCAAGGCAGTTGGACCACCTGAGGTCAGGAGTTCAAGACCAGCCTGGCCAACATGGTGAAATCCCATCTCTACTAAAAGTACAAAATTTGCCAGGTGGGGTGGTGGACGTAGTAATCCCAGCTACTCAGGGAGGCTGAGGCAGGAGAATCACTTGAACCTGGGAGATGGAGGCTGCAGTGAGTGGAGATTGCACCACTGCACTCCAGACTGGGTGACAGAGTGAGATTCCATCTCAAAAAAAAAAATAAAAAATAAAAAAAAGAACCTCATTGTTAGATTTATTTATTTGGGTTACGATATTTTCATGTCTAAACAGACCTTTAAGACAAGATAGGTTGAAACAGAATGATAGTATATAAATTTTACGTTTTGCTACAAAATAAAAAATTGACTTCTTTTTATCAGATTGATCAGTTACTTGTTAAGGCCCTAGGGAAATGAACAAAAGACGGGTGCATTTTGATGAAGAGTGAATGTATGACTGACTACAGAGGATGATGGTTGAGAGAAACAGGCCCCAGAGGTACTATAAACCACCAAGAGAAACAAAGTTAAGAGAGGTAAGCAATGCGCTCTACCAGAGGGTGTTGGAGGAATGAAGTTTGACTGTTTCAAAAATTAAACAGTAACCCCACAAATGGCCTGGCTCAGGCCATAAACTGGCTCTTCTCTCTTCTATCTTGTTTAGAGATTTCATGATTAGATTTTGATTCTGCATTTCGCTGCTGGGTTCTTTCTTTCTGACTAATATTACAAAGGGTCTCAGAGGATTTATTTGTTTGTTATTTAACCACAGACTACCCACTCTAAAATGAAAAAAGTAGTGATAGCTTATTGTTTAATATCTTAAATAACTCATCATTTTTTTCCCTGAATTGTGCTCGTGTGTGCATTAAGAGAAGAGCATTTTCCAGGAAGACCGCATCTGCATACTAAGTAACTTTACTTTTCAACCCTTGAGTGGAAATAGAAAAACATTACCTGTAAAATATTTCTAATTATTAAATCTGTCAGTTTGGGTTAGAGAACAAAAACAAAATGATAGGACAAAAAGGAAAAAGAAAGGAGATGGAATTGGTAGGCTTACATTCTTAGACGAAGCTCAGAAGAAGTTGAGTTTATTAGCCTGAAAATTTTTCATTGCAAAGTAATACCTAAAAGGACCATTTAAATTAGTACTTCCAATATGCCAGCTCTCATGCCAGAAAAATAGCTTGTTGCATAGACATTACAGCAGCCAAGAGACTGGGATTCAACGCCAAACTCTTCAAGTTCAGCAGGGGAAACCACAACAATTAGTCGTGTGTTTCTGGAGCTCTCGGTGACTACATGGGTGGCTGCCTTTAAGGCAATAATAAAACCGGGTTTGAATTACAGATTTATAAAGCCCAAACAAATAAAATACACACTACTGGATTTATAAACATTACTGAACAAGTAGACAGTGAAATCCTCTTGTTTTTCTCTGAAACCTTTTATAAAAATCCCATTGCATTCTTCCTGCTAAGAACACAAAAACAAACAACAACAACAACAACAACAAAAAACCACAAAAAACTACACTATGATGAAAAAAGCTATGTGAGTGGTAGAGCTTTTCTGAACATCTCTCTTTCTTTAGGGGACTTATTTCCCCAAAGTCCGGAAACCACAGTAGGAGACTCTCCCTAAAAATGCTGAACCCAGATGTCCTTGATGAAGATTACTCCGCTGGGCTTCATCTTGGCTCAGGGTGCATACAATAAAACAGTGTTTCTTAATTGTGTTCTGCCAAACGTTAGATCCGTGAGCAATTCTTGGGTGTTAACCCAAATAAATTGGTTCTGTGGTCAAATAAATTCAAAAAACACTAAATGAAACAACAAAAATAAATAAAGAGGGATTCTTTTACCAGAGCTTCTCAGAGCTTTTAATAAAGCCATGTGTGTTGTGAATTTCTAACAGGGAAGTATGATATATCTTCTGAATATTTTACTACAGAACTTGCTTTTTTGTGGAAAAGAGATGAGATTAATATCCCGCAGAAATTATTTTATTAAAAAAACTCATAGAGGGCGGCAGAATAACTTTTGCATAGTAGAATAACTTTGGCTCTGGGCGAACAAATGAAAATAATTTCTCATTTAAAAATGTCAGTAAAGAGAAAGGAGGTAAAAATAAAAATTATAAAGAACATTCATTTAATTTACAGAGCTGATGAGTAAAAATATGAAAATGAAAATTATAAGGCTTAATATAAGTTGCTATTTCTTAAAGCTGAATATATTGAAAAAAGCTGAGTCTGTGAAGTAATATTTGATACTAGAAAACCAACATGTTACTCATTTATTCAAACAGTTATCCTCATCAACCTCAGAAATGAAATACTATTTTATTCAAGGTACTCTCATAGTTAAAAACACTCAACTGTTTTTCTACTTTAAAAATACCATAATGCTTTAAGATAAATTATTCAAGCTATTAGTGAAGAACAATAAAAATACATTAACCAGTAAGAAGAGATAATTATTTCTTGTGACAACCTTGGCAAAATAATTACTCTAGCCATGCTAGGCCATTTTTTTCTTAACCTCTGTGATAGATAACACTTTGTTATTTTGTTTCAACATGATAGAATAGCACATACAATTGCTTAAATTGCATTCAGAAAACTATTTGAGTCCAGCCATCCTGTGCGATTTTTTCACACATTTTTAAACTGTAAAAATGGGAAATGCAAACTGATGATTAAATATGGCTAATATCAATGTAACAAGTTCCCTGGAGAACAAGTACAAACATTCCAACAAAATGAAGCATTACAACAGAATACTTTATATCATTTTTTAGTTACAAATTTTCTATACTCACCATCAGGAAACAGGCAACATATACAGCTAACGATTTTGTATCCTCTCTAAAGATTAGCTGTATGAACTGCATGGATTCTAAACTTTGTTAATAGAAAACTACTAAAACATAAGTTTTTATTGTAGTCTATTCAACACAAATCACATTATCCTATACTTGGTTGTCAACTACTTTGGCAAACTTATCCCAAGCTGTGCGGGCTAGTGGTAGGTATTTCTAGGGGAAAACCATCATTATTAAACTTCAGTTCATAAAAAATCCTTACCTGCTACATATAACAGGTGGAGTCAGGATTTGAGGGGATAGGTCAGGGGCACTCTGAGTGTAAGTTAAGGCCCTGTGAGAACCTAGACTTTGTTTGACAGTTGTGTCAGCAGATTCTGGAAACTGCACTGCAGAAATTTTGCTGACCAGGCTGCTGGCAGGAGTCCCTTGGAGAGGTGAGGAGCAGGGCGATGAAAGAGGTGAAATTTTAGCGAGGGCACCTGAGAAAGAATGAGAGTTAAGTAACTAAACAAATGTCTTTAAAATGCAAAATTGCAACTGTTGAACTTCACCTGGACTCTTACAAACTCAGTAACAACCACGTGCCTGCTCAGGTCACTGGGCTGGCCTCCTCCACATACCAACATCTGAAGCCAGTGCGGTTGGGGTGTCTCCACAGCATTCAATGGGAGGAATGAATCATCATAAAAAAATAGTGGCAATGTTGGCACATACAGTCAAAGCCTTGGTGTCCTGGAGTAACTTCAGGACAGAAGGATATTATTTTCTCCTCCCATTTTTGTTTCTTCTTGTCATTCTGACATGGAAATAATAGTGAAAATTTTCTCATATGTTGATTTTCTCTTAGGTTGTGAAGGTTTTAGCAGGAACAGGATCTGCTATTGTTTTAAACATTAACCAGTATCTGGGGCAGAGTTCAGCAGGCATCAGATGCTTAAAATATGTAAATAAAGAAGATGCATTACTGAGAGGAAATTAACCTTCTTAACAACTCGCAGTTTCAGTGAAATAAGACCTTTCGGTGTGAAAGATTGCTTTGATCAAAATAATTTTTGAAGAAAACATTTTCAAATGTAATATAATCCATTTCAGATCAAACAATAGACCTAAAGCTTCCATTTCAAGTGTGGGTATTTGTGCCAAACTGTCTGTATTTACTCTAGATTGTAAGAGTTTTACAGGACACTGGCTTAGATTTCAAAGTGTGGCTGTTGGAAGACCAGGAAGATATCTTTTGAAGTTACTCTCTCCCAAACACAGAGAAGGCAGCCTGCACTTAAAATGGAAAAAAGGAGAGAAATAACTTCTGGCCAAAAACCTGCTTACTGGTTTTCATGATTTTATGGCTGAACAATGTACTGTAGGGCAAATGAAATGACATTATTAAAAGTCGTTCTCTATTTCTCACCACTTAGGAAAGTTTACAGCCATCCACCTTCACATCATCAAATTATGTGTGGTTAGCTGGCAGTTGGCTTACAGCAAAGTTTGCTTCCAGGATCTAGCTTCCTCAAAAGTTTGATTTGTCACACCAAAGGTTTTCTGGTCCACTGAAAAGAATATTAAGTTTGTTGAGGGAGTGTGTGTGAGTATAATTTTCTTTTTAATTTCTTGTTGGCACTGTGATCTCTTTTTGTTGTTGTTGTTGTTAAAGATGAGAAATCTCACTCTCCCCTTGCTTCAGTGTGAAGAGCAGCACCCCCTTCTAGTTCTTTCTCAACCTATCTATTGTTAATTCCTAACCAGCAGCTCAACCCCCTCCCAGCCTTTATACTAAGCAAACAAAACCACTTAGACCCAGAGAGGGTAAAAAACCCTCCCAAGGTCACAGTACCAGTACACGGAAGAATATAGTGCAAACCCAGCTATTCTTAGTAAAATGAGGCTTATAAGCCAGTACCTCTATCAGAGACTATCCAAGGGGGAAGTAAAATCAATGGCCTATTAGGCAGCATTTGCATTGCTCCTTATGTAATGCCTAATGGTTTTTATTTGGGTTTCTACTTCTATTAAAAAGTCTCAGTTATTTTTCCAAAGATAACGACAAACCTTCACATTACATAGTATCCTGAGCCAAAAACAAATCAAAACAAAAAATTAAGTTCACAAAGGTTTTAACTCAGAATTTCCCAGCCAATGTATGATTGTGTGTGGCAAGTGGGTTCCAAGTTTGCTGTGAATTATTTACTGGTTGAAAATATTTTTTCAAAAAGAAAGATTTTATTTGGAAACTCTAGAATAAACTCAATTTTTAATATTATCTCCAATAGCTTATAATTAGTTTTTCTCATTATAATTTTATAAAATAAAGGAAATCTAGTTTTAAAACTCTAAATCTCTTCTCATTTCTCTAATGCTATGGTATTCACAAATACTATTACACATAGATGGGTGCTGTGATGTAAAGGTTAAAAAGGGTTGGTCTAATTTTGACCACTTTTTGGATTTAGACTGTAACTCCAGATAATCTTAGAAAGGTACCGTAGCCGTTAAGGAGCTGAATCCTAGTAAGATGTGGTAGAAAGTTTACCAAGGTATCTGTACTGAGTATCTCAAGGATTTATTCATCTAACAAGTATTTATTGTGAGTCTTGCTCCATGGATGGAGTAGGGTACAAAATAAAATCCCTGCTCTTAATGGAGCTCCCACCTTTTTAGGGGAGACAGAAACTAAAAAAAAAGTCAATAAAAAAGAAAAGTTAACTTAAATTCAAATAAGAGGAAGAAAACAATGCACAGAGTAGAAGGCAGGGAAGAACATGAATGCTCTTTAGATAGGATGGACTGGGAAGGCCTTCCTGGCTGGGAAGGGGTGGGGGTGGGTAAAATGTGAAGAGAGGCCTCATGATATACAGAAGACCTTTAGAGAGAAGTAGCTGGGGAAAGCATGTTCAGGAAAGAGGGACATACCTGGGGGATGTCAGAGGAGCAGTCAGGAGGTCAGTGGTTGGCAGCTTAGCAAAAAGGAAAAAGAGGGGCAGGGAACGTGGTCAGAGAGGTTGCTGGGCAAGTCTGGATAGGGTTGGGTAGGGCCAGGGCAAAGTTTTATTAGGTTGGTGCAAAAGTAATTGTAGTTTTTGCAATGAAAAGTAATTGCAAAAACAGCAATTAAAAGTAATTGCTGTGTCATAAGAAAAAGAGATTCCTGATAGACACTGTGTTAGGCAATTCCTTAGTTGTTCTCATAGTAAACTGTGAGTTTTGGGACAGTTTCCTACACAATTTTTTTTTAACAGCACAATAGTTCAAAGCCCATGAGAACATTGCCCATTTCTGTCTTGACATCCTGTTTTTTTCTGAAGGCAATTTATGAGAAGAGTGATTTTTTTCATTGCTAAGTTTTAGTAGCTGCCAGCTGATTGCTTCAGATACATGCAATTCACTCTCAAACACAAATTTTAAAATTCACACAACCATTAGAGTTCTTGGAACTCACGGATTAACTAAATTTAAACAAACAAGCAGATTTTAAGACATCAAATTTACTGCCTGGGATGAAATTTAAAATAAACCTGTAATAGAGAAGCTCTGCTTCTGTAGTATTAGTCTACATATTTTGAACACTTTTAAAAGCATAACTCGGCTAGGCACAGTGGCTCATGCCTGTAATCCCAGCACTTTCGGAGGCCGAGGAGGGGGGATCACCTGGGATCAGGAGTTCAAGACCAGCCTGGTCAACATGATGATACCCCATCTCTACTAAAAATACAAAAATTAGCCTGATATGGTGGCGCATGCCTGTAATCTCAGCTACTCTGGAGGCTGACGCAGGAGAATCACTTGAACCCAGGAGGTGGAGGTTGCAGTGAGCTGAGATCACGCCACAGCTGCACTTCAGCCTGGGTGACAGAGCAAGAATCCATCTCACAACAACAACAACAACAACAACAACAACAACAACAACAAAAAGCGTAACCTTGGCAACACTCACGAGAAGCAGGGATATTTCTATTCTGCAGGTGAGAAGCTAAAGTTATAAAAGTGTAACTTCTCTTTTTTTCCCAAAGCCAAACTACTATTTTTCCCAGTGTGCATTATCATAGTTTACTTGAAGTTTAAAAACAGAAAGAATTAGGATGTACATGCATAGTTTGAAGACCGTATCAGTCTTCAAAAAGATAGGCAGATAAATGCAGATAATAACCAAATTTTCTTTATAGAAAGGATAAACTATAAATAAATGATTTCAGATACAGGAAGAGGACAGTCTAAGGAACTGGGAGGAATAACCTTTGGAAGTCTTCAAAAACAAATTTTCTAAAATGTTTTCAATGTAATAATGTCTAAAGTTAGAGGGATGACTGTTAGAACCTTTGAAAATCTCATCTAATTTTACATCGCACACTCACACATTTACACACTCACACATGACTGCAGAGATTCAGATAAACATGCATTCTCTCAAATATATTCATGTTTATCTTCACTTTATATTTGAGTAATTTTAGCAGATTCCAGGAAGAAGACATAGCTCATGAAACATAAATTTTTGAATGATTCAAACTGTCCTAATGTGAAATACTTAAAATCAAAACACTTAAAAACAAAAAATTAAAAATATAATTTTAAAAATAAAGTCTAAAATGCCAACTCCTTTGAGTAATTCTGCCTTTAATTCCTTGTTCCTGAGAGCATGAGAAAATGTATGTCAGGACACAAGGAATTTTGGGCAATCAAAGAGAGAAAATAAACAATACTGCAGGGGAATTATTTAAGTGAATCCATCTGTTTTGTGCTATAAAACTCTCTCAGTTTAATTTTAATGGAACAAAAAAGGAACCAGTTTGTCTGATAAAGACATCTTTTTTTTTTTCCATGCCTGGATGAAAATGGACAGCCTGAATATTTTTTCCAAAGCAGAAACTGCATCTAAAGAGAATGCCAAAGAAAAAGAATCACAATACCGTAATTAAAGTTCTCTATATTTTCAAATGTTGTATAAGAAAAACAGTCTAGATTATAGGTGTAGAGATATCTGTTATCACTGCAATTGGCAGCCAAACTTACAAGAATCCGGGAAAGGACTACTGCAAATACAGTAACTATAAATTCAAGGAATTTTTAAAGCAGAATAGTATCATGGTAGCTCCACAATGTCAGTGACTCATACGAGAAGCGCAAAATTGAAAATACCAATGATATTTGAATCTCCTGCTTTTAAGCTTCAATTAAAGGAGTCCTATGTGATTTCATTCATTTATTTTATATTAGTAACTGCATAATAATTTGTGTTTCAGTTATTTAAAATTAACATTGATTGACCGAACTAAAGGACACTCTGTTTACTTGATCTGCACAAAGAACAGATTTCATTAGCCCTCTCTGGAAACAGGGTATTTATCTTTCTGTATGTCTCTTCTTACTTCATACTCGCTTTCTCTCCACCTCATTGCCTATTGCTCTTACATGTTTCCTCAGACTCTCTTCACATTTCATCTGAGTCCATTTGCTTACACTCTTTGCCACGAGGGGGCTCTTCCCAGCTTCTTTCCATGGAGTTTATGGAAAACCAGGATGCATCACAGTCAGCTGCATCAAACATGTCACAGCTACTTAGCTCCATCAACAACCCAAACAGGGAAGCAAGGATTTTAAAGCAGAAGGGCCCATCTGATTAGGATAGAGTTGTAACCTCTTTTCAGCTCTCTGATTCTTGTCTCTTTTGGCAGACCTTTAGGAATTTAGTTAGTTAGATTCAGCATGCCTGGGATATAGGTTATTTTATAAACTTTTAGCTGTGCTGTGACAGCTGTCTAAAGATGCCACAATGCAAAATCCACTCCAAAATGATCATGATGGAAAAGTCTTATGCACTTGATGGCAAGAATGGAAGGGCACTCTTACTACGGCTGTGGTTCTCATTCCTACCACCTGCCCATGTGGTATCTTATGTGAACATTCCTTTCCTTTTACACTTTGCTCTTTCTTCTAGAGTGCAGTCATACAAACTGGGGATCAGGACACAGGAATATGAGGCTGTTGCATCATTTGCTCTGTTATTTCCAGTGTCTGCCTAATTATAATTTTCAGCTTCTTGATCTTATCATGTTGGTTATTCAATAATTTTTATGTTATTACTAAACCAAAGAAACAGGGAGAGAAAACCAAATCCTTCTATTATCTTGCACCTACCCAAGGTCAGAACCAAAAAAAAATCCTAACCTTAAATTATGACAATTTGTCATCCTCATTTGTTTCTAGTATGAAGTCATTAGGACAAAAGAAAGTATTCGGGATTCATTGTATGATCTAGAGAAAGCAAATTACTTAACCTTCTTGTTCCTCAGTTTCCTCATCTGAACCCCCTTTCTGAGCTACTCACAGATTTAGAACACTTAAATTTATACTTCATCTCTTGAATTACATATTATTACTGTCTGAAATTTTAGTTCTGTCCTTAAAAAATCTTATAAAAACTATTCACAAATTTGGAAATACTATTATTTATGAATTTAATGTTTGTTTGGATTGACTCATGGTTTTCAGATTTGTTTAACATTTTTATTAGATTTCAAACTTTCTCTTCTTCCGCTTCTTTCTAGAATATATCCATCATAAATTCCTTTAGTAAAGATTTGGCAGATGGTAAAGTTTTGACTTCTTTCAAATTGTCTTTAGTTCGCTCCTATTCTTGTAAGATGAATCTGTCAGGCACAAAACTTTAGGTTATCATATTGTTTCAGAACTTTGAAGAAAATATTCTACTGTGTTCTGACTCCTAGTATTTCTGACAGTTCTGCTCTCAGCCTGACTGCCTTTCCTGAAAAGGAAATTTGTCTTTTCTCTGGTAGACTTTAGGATTTTTGTGTGTGTGTATCTTTGGTGTTGTGTAGTTTCACTATTTTGTATCTACGTGTGAGTTTCTTTCCATTTACTAGGCTTCTCCTGAGTATTTTTTGTCTTCTATTTGCTACTAAAACTCTGATTACACATATCATGTATATTAGACTCTCTAATTTTTCTATATCTCCTAAAATCTATTATATTCTCCAATTTTTCATCTGTATTGCTTTCTGGATAACTTCTTCAGATCATTCTCTACCCAGTTTACTAATTCAGTAGTCTACTATGCTATTTAATATTTCCTTGACTACATTTCCAAAAGTTATATTTAGCTGCTCTGCAGTTACGTCTTTTCTCATTGCTATTATTTTTCCTTAAATATGTAAATTTTTGAATTAAATTTTAATTTAAATATTTTCATCCTTTTACAGATCTAGAAAGTTGTATTTTTGTTTCTGTTAACTCAAACTCATAGTGTTTCTTTGTGCAATTAGTGATCCTGGTTGTAAGCTCTATGTTTGAATCTGATCTGATAAAATCTCATGGCCCTTAACTGGTGATGCTTCCCTTCCAAAAGTATCTGTATATATTTTTGTAGGGAGCCAAGGGGCCTTACATACCTAAAACCACTTTAGCGCTCCTTTAAGACTCTTAGGTTTAATGTGGAATTCTCAAATGCAGTTTCTCCACCTTGCTGGAGTCCCAGATGATTCTTCTTAGTACTGAGCTAATCCGCATTTGCCTTCAGGAATATCTCAATTTAAGTATTTGCCTACATTATCCTACATTGCCTGGCCCTGGTGAAAGCTCAATTTTATTAGCAGGTCATTAATAACTTCTAAGTGGCAAAATTTAATGAACATTTCTAAAGAGCAGAGAGGACCAGATTAGTTGTTGGAAAAGCAGATTAGCTTAATGGTCTCTTTTACTGATGTAATTTCAATAAAATGATACAAAAAAGCTATCGAGGCAGAGCACACAATGCTGAGGGACTAGATTCCCATAAAGAGGAGAACCTCAGAAAGGTGAGCCCAAATCTTGTAAACTGTTCTTCCCTTCATAGCACGATTTACTGACTGTTGGCATGGAGTAAGAAGTGAAGGATCCAGTCAGAGGGGTGCAGCTATTCGGGAGGCAAGCCAGCAGAGCTTTTAGCAATGTCATGAGGCTGATGACATAAAAATTGGAGTTTGGGGTTGCCATGGCAGCCAGAACTTGAATGTTTCATATCTCAGTGGGAAGTGGGCAGTTTTCCTTTTAACCATTTGATGAACTCTTAAACTGCTAAAGGCAGTAGATTAAGAAACTAAGGAAGTTACTGAAAATCTCATTGATATTTTCTGTAATACTGAGAAGTGAAACCGTGATTCCAAAAAGGAAAGGTGAGAGGAAACATCCCAGATTCTTAATTGGGCTTCTAGGGGAAAGGCAATTCAGAGACAGAATCTCACAAAAACTCCTATTACAGGTTTGGGTGAGCAAGAACCCTGAACAAATGAGGTAGTCTTCCCCAATATCATTTCATGTTCCTATCTAAAGCTTTATTATTCTTAATTTCGATATCTCAATTCCTTATCAGAGTTCATGTGTAGTAAATGGAACACTTCCTTGAAGTCATATATCATACTCCTGAAAAACAATTTTAATAGACACTAAAAAATTGGAATTTCTATCATGAGATGATGCTACCAGAGATGATCCTTGATGGTAAAAGTGATTTCCTGTGCATCTAATTAGTTCAAGATAGGAATTCTGATACAACAACTTTGAAGGAATCTGTATCACATAAGGTAGAAATTTAAATAACTAATTGGTTATTGAGGCTTTAAAAAAATAACTAATTGGTTATTAGAACAGACAAACCAAACATAATTGAATACAGGGCACCCTCAGAATATTTCAACGCTTAAGGTCTGGTTTGCTCTATGACTCCACACTTACAGTATGAACCCTTCTCCAGTTAAGTTACTTACCTGGTCGACTTTGCTTTTTAGCCTTTACATGGTTAGCTGCAGAAATAGCATAGGACGAAGTAAAGGATCTGCTTTTGGTGAGGGTCATCATCACTGGATTATTACAAGAATCAGGACTAACAGCACCGACAAGACAGAATTAAAAGAAAATAAAAGAAATTATTAATCAGTTATTGGGCCAGTCTTGCCAGAACCCAACCATCATTTCTGTAATAGATTTGCCAATCTGAGTATTGGTTCAGGTTCAGTGATAGAACCACTGTACTTCCCAGTGATGAAACAGATTATGTAAAAACAATCTCTGTTGCAGGGACATAGCAGTTACTCATCAACCATACTGGGTTAACAAAGAGGAAAGATAACTTTCTTATTATCCAATTAATACAAATTAAACACCTTCTCACTGTCCTCTAAAATTGCGTTCCTCACAGATTTTCTAAAAGAGGCTTGCAGATTAACTGGTTAAGATGCGGGTAAATTTACATAAGCTGTAAGTGTCATAATGCTTACTTAAGTACTCTATTTTTTTGGTAGATTTGTGTTCAAAAACTGAATGATCACGAAATCATTCAAAAATAATTTTTTTTTTTGCATTATTTCCTTGTGACGGAAATGATTAGCAGCAGGCCTTTAGCTTATGATTTCTCTTTACTGGTGATAACCGAGAAAAAAAGGGATTATCTAGTCAAATTCCCTTTTTACAAGGGAATTTGTAAAAAAGGACATGCCAACAATGGAGCTGATGCTAACCATACTGATGATATGTACTAGGTGAAAGGTAATGCAGAATCTTCACCTAGCAAATGCTTTTACCAGGATGTACTTGGTCTGCCTAGGTTGCTTATTGTAAATAAATGTGGAATTAATAGATTCATGGAAAACTGAGCTAGAGAATGTTATGTAAGTCATGCAATTCATGGGCTATAAATTTTGGAGGTATTCCAAGACAAAATTTCTCTGTATGTGTTGCTCAAAATTTATACATGTGGAATCTGAAATAGACTCCATCCTAATTTGAGAGAGAAGGGAATTTCAAAAGTTGTGTTGGCAATCTTGGACTGCTCCAAGGGAAAAGTGCTTGGTCTGTGTTTGCTAACACCTGTGTCCCTTCAAGCACTAGTAAATTTGGAACTAGGTACAATCTATAATTTACATAAATATAATTTGACAATTTGATCTTTTGCCAATCTTAGATTGGCAATGTAACCAGGATGTGCCTGGTCTGTCTGGGTGGCTTATCGTAAAATACCTAAAATCGATAGAATTATGGGCTAACGGATGCATGGAGATTGCGATATAAGTTTATAATTAATACGATAGAATTTGGAGAGGTTCCAGAGCTGAAATGGTTCCCTCTGTGCAAGTAATATTATGCATGCATTGCTTAGAACCCTGACTGCTAAATCCAAACCAGAAAATGTGATAATGTGGAATAAAGGGACTTTCAGAAAATTGCACTAATTGACCTCTCAAAGGAAAGCATGCTAAGCATGAGTCTTACTATTGTCTGTATCCTTTGATTACTAGCAAATTCAGCAATGGATAAGATCTGTAATTTATGTTGAGGTCAGTTTGACACTCTGACACTTCTTATCTCAATTTTTTTTTTTCCATTTCAGAGAGATTTTTTTCTTCAACTATTGACCCAGGTATTTTAAAACTTCATCTTTTCTCCCCACTTCTAATAGCAGTTTTCCATATATGAGGACATTTGAAATGTGGTATGACCTTCAGCAATTATAAAATGCAATTAAGTAAGGCATAAAAATATTTGTTTGACATCCTTCTCAGAAAGCACATCCTAGGTGTTTCGCAAGTTCTTGGTATTTAGGAAATAATGAGATGAAAGAAACTTTGGATCTGAAACAGATAACAATACTGACTATTTTCTGGTGGTGCTGGTCCCTTTTAATTTATTTTGCTGGATTGACTGACTGATTACTATGAACAACTATTATATAATGTATATGTGGCCTAAATGTTTGCAGTTCTCATTACATAATACAGTGAATAGGTTATTACTTTTACTTTTCTAAGTAGACTTTTTAAAGACAATGCCTTACAGTAACTGAATGTTTTAATATATCAGAAAGATATATTATGAAGGCTATCTCAACAATTTACTATTTTTTCAAATAAAAATATTTAAAATGTGTTCATTTTAAAGTTTGTAAAATACATTAGAGTATCCTTAATAAATGCAGATTTAATGAACTCAAGATAAATAACATCCTAGTCATATCACATTCTTAATACAATAATTGTATTTTACTATTAATACAATAAATCAATGTATTATATTATACATAAATGCATTATAGTTTACAGGTGCTTTCTTATATTGCTTTGTGAGACCCTTACAGTTTTCAGCTTTTCATCATTGTTCTTTATTTCTGGATTCCTGTTTAAATTTCATGAATATGAAATATTTGGATTCTGTAAAGGAGAATAGCTTAGGAAAGGCTTTACATGGTTTCCTCATGCTGGCACAGCAGAGGAAAATTATCTATGTGCCTGTGATGGAAGATCTCAATCTTCTTCCCAAAGGTGGTCTTATGTTCTTATTATCCCCATAATGACTCCATTCTAAGTCCTTAAAGTCTGATCAGGTAACTGTCTCTTTTGCCAAGTTTACTGCTTTATTTTTGCCTGAATATACAGGCAGGGGTCAATTCCAAGGTCAACTTGGAATGATTTAGGGTCTGATGTATTTCAGCTTTTTCTATTTCTCTAAAGCCTATTTTTTAAAGCACCTACTTGTATTCTTCCATCTAATTTACTCCTCCAATTATGTCCAAGCTCCCCTTTTTCCTAATGACTCCTTGTAATTGGGTACAGAGACTCTGGCAGGCTAATGACTTGCCTCTAAGAACACAGTACATTTCTAAGTAGTAGGGCCCAGACCCTTCAGATTCTCAGTCCAGTGTGCTTTCTACCAGACTATTTAAAATTACCCAGAGTAAATTATCCAGCTGTATATATAAAGGAATATAAGCTGTGTTCCTAATTTTTATTTCTCACTCGTATTCTTCTTTTGATCAATGTAGTCCTCAAAGAGACCCAATAAATGAACAGATATGGGAAGGAATAAAAAAAAGGGCTAAAAGGGAAGAAATTTCAGGGCTAAAACTCAAAAGAAGGTTTTAACTTTGATTTATGATCAAGCCAAAACTAGCTGTATTTAGTGGTGGTACTACTGCCACTTACTTATAAATGGTTTTTCCTTAAAGGGATCAAATTCTATTCAGAATGAATTTCCTTTCTTCACAATGATGAAGAAATTATATTGCTTTCAGATTTTACATCAGTACTTTTCACAGGACAGTGAGATTATGAGATAGTATACCAGGTAGTGACGAAAACATATACGCAGGCAAGACATCTATGAGTATTTTTAGAAATGAGAGAATGAGAATGAATGGAATCATATGCTACTCCTTATCTCTATTGTAAATATTTGGATGTATCCATTTTACAAAGAAGAATGACAAGATCCTCGGGCATTAAGTTCTTAAAAGTTCTTGGAACTTTTTTCCTTGTCATGATTTCAATTTAAACCCTCAAGTTCATCTAATTGACCAAGAGAAGAGAAAAGCAGGGGAAATAGGATTTGACTAGAAGTAACAAAGAATAACAGAAAGAAAGACATTTGACAAGGCATGAGTGGATTTTTGATAGTCATTCTATGGGAAGGAAATCATGAAGCATTACCTATGCTATGATAGGAAACTTAGCAAGTTGCATTGGTAAAATAGGCAGACTCTAATGATACACACTGAAAATATAATTCATTTTATTAAGCAATAGTTAACAGTAATACTATTAACATTTATCAGTATTTGCTGCTGTAGCAATTGTCAATGATCAATATTTTTAGAGAAAAATATTACCATTGACTTCTAATTTCAAATTTCAAGAAATTTTCATGAAACACTGCATAATCTCTTCTTGTGTTGTTTACAAGTTTTACAAAAGTCCAGGTAATAGGATGGAGTGTAATTTTACTGACATATAAAATACATAATGACGTTTGAGTTTGCTTCCAATTTTTTTGAGACGGAGTCTCACCGTGTTGCCCAGGCTGGAGTGCAGTGGTGCGATCTGGGCTCACTACAAGCTCCACCTCCCAGGTTCGTGCCATTCTCCTGCCTCAATCTCCCAAGTAGCTGGGACTACAGGTGCCCGCTACCATGCCTGGCTAATTTTTGTATTTTTAGTAGAGACGGAGTTTCACCGTGTTGGCCGGGATGGTCTCAATCTCCTGACCTCGTGATCCGCCCACCTCGGCCTCCCAAAGTGCTGGGATTACAGGCGTGAACCACAAGCCCGGCCAAGTTTGCTTCCAATTCTACAGATTTTTTAGAATACAAATAATATGGAAGAAACCAATCAAAAATTTTTAATCAAAAAAGAGAAGTCAGCAGTCATTAAATTCTTATAATCTGAAATATTTCTATTAGTTTCAGTATGGTGGTTTATTTATATCCCAGACTAAGGATCAGGAGAAAATTACTTCTGATATTGCTATCATGTAATACAACATAAATGTGGATTTTTTCATTCATTAGGTTATTGATAAAACTGATATATGTGTTTCAAAAACCTGAAATCATATGGTAAATGGTCTCAAAATTAATGGATTTGAATAAAGTATGATAAGTACAATATTTTTATTCTAAATAGAAAAGGACACAGTATCTCCTCTAAATGCACTTTCCTTAGCTATTTTCTTCAAAATTCTTTTTAGATGTTAATACAACCTTTTCTTTACTTCTGGTAATTCTGGCTTTTAAGTTGCTTTGAAAAATTGGAATTAATATCCTCAGAAAAGTTTAAATTACCAAATGTTTGAACTTATCTAGGTATTCTTAGGATGATCTGCTTTTGATTTGTTCTTTTGTCTTTTGTACAAAGCTAAGACAGCTGGTCTTGGCGGAGGCTAGTGACTGGGCTAGGGGCATCTCATATCGATTGCAAATGTCAAGTTAGACGCTTTTGATTTAAGGATCTCAGCATGAATCTCAATGTAGATAAAATTACCTACCTTTGCCCTGGAGCTTAACCCTTCCCCTCTAAGGTCACAATGGCAGAGATCACATCAGGTCATGCTTTCCACTTACATTTAGGGTCACACAAACAGATGCTAAACCTAATTATCTGATGTTAACCCCTATACTGCTCTGCATTTAAGTCATGTACCCTTTCCATGTTCAAAGCTGACCTCTAACCAAATGTAATGGGTTAGCCTTCCTTCTCCTGTAATTTACAACTCATTTTTGTCAAGTAACTTCTCTAAGAGACATTAAACCAGCAGGAGCCGTATGCCACCTGGATGAAGGTGCTTCCTGCAGTTTGATGCTGGTGCTGCGGTCTCTCCGTACTGGTGCAGGCTCCAAGGTAGGTAGACCTGTGGCCGAGGTGGTGGTGGTCCAAGTGGAAGAAACTCGTCTCAACAAGCCAGGGGGCAAACTCCTTCTCAGGCGCTAGGAAAGAGACTTGACTTCATTACCAAGCATATTTTATATCTCTTAAATTTTATGTAATATAATAGAAGGAAATGAGCTTTTCATTAGAAGTGAATGGACTAAATTATATTGGTTGAATATCACCTATCTAAAATTTGAGTGCTCAGAAATTTCATAAAAGATTCTCTGGCCAAAATGAACGCATATCATAAAAAACAGCAGCCAGGCGCAGTGGCTCATGCCTGTAATCCCAACTCTTTGGGAGGCCAAGGTGGGTGGATCATCTGAGGTCAGGAGTTTGAGACCAGCCTGAACAACATGGCGAAACCCCGTCTACCAAAAATACAAAAATTAGCTCGGCGTGGTAGTGGGTGCCTGTAATCTCAGTTGCTCAGGAGGCTGAGGCAGGAGAATCGCTTGAGCCTGGGAGGCAGAGGTTGCAGTGAGCCGAGATCATACCACTGCACTCCAGCCTGGGTGACAAGAGCAAAACTCTGTCTAAAACAAAAATAATAAATAAATAAATAAATAACCTTTTAGGGTCTTTATTTCAATGTTTATACAAATACGTGATTATAGGAGTGAGTCAATTACCTCTGGGGTAATTTTATAGTTATATTTATTCAACAGGATTTACAAACCTATACACACATATTAGTTATTATGAGAAGTTTTTCCTCAAAGGTCACTTGCTTGGGAGCATGAATTAATTTATATCACCTTGCACCACAGTCTATACCCCCAAGTATTATTGACTTTATTATCTTCATTTACAAACGAAAGGAGCTCAGTGTAAGAACGTAAGTCTCTCACAAAATGCACCACTTCTCTTATGATTAATGTAACTTAGACATCAGAGATATGGGTAATGTCATCAGTGTCAACTCCTCTTAATAGGAGACCCTGCTGGCCAACCTGCTGTTCCCCTTCTTATTTTTTCTCCCACCATATCCTAAACAGGACATGTAGCGTCATCTGCACTGAGACAAGAGTCTGGGATCACTAGGATGAGCACCAACCCTCTAAAGTGAGTCTTGACCTTAAAAGTTAAACTAGGAGGCGCAGTGGCTCATGCCTGTAATCCCATGTAGACCTCAGCTACTTTGGGAGGCCGAGGCGGGTGGATCACTTGAGGTCAGGAGTTTGAGACCAGCCTGGCCAACTTGCAGTGAGCCAAAATCATGCCACTGCACTCCAGTCTGAGCAACAGAGTGAGACTCCAACTAAAAATAAAAAAGTTAAACTGAAGGTCTTTTTCCTACAACTTCAGCAACAGTCGTAATAGACAGAACCACAACCCACTTTTGTTTGTGGCTAATCACTCCTAATAAACCTACCACACAGGCATAGTTCACAAAGACATTCTGCTCTTCCGAAGAAGGTAAAAAATTTTGAGAAATGAATTATATGTCCACTTGGGATTTAAGAATAGCTCTGCCATTAAATAGTTTCCAGTGTCTCTTAAACATCTGAATGTGCATCTTAGAAGGTAATTCAGTTGGAAGAGAAAAAGTCAAACACTCTTAAATACCAGGTTTCTTGCCTTAAATCTGTCTTTGACCTCAGGTCTATTTTGAGACTTGAAGGAACCAGTTACTCTCTCTCCCCATTTCCTTACTGTCATATTATACTTAGGTGTATCTTTATTAGGGAATTGCATATTGGAAGGAAACTATGTAAATATGTTATTGACAAACTTATGAAGATCACATTCCTGACAGAAGAGACGCACAACAGCAGAAGCACAGCTGTTACTGACTGACCACCAGCTCCAAGGGATAGCTGACTGTCTACTAAATAAGTAACTGTGCTGAATATACCAGAGACCACTGACACTCTGATTTTCTTGTCTTTAATATGCCTTATTTTTAATTAATACTGAGATCTAAACAGGGTGAGGATCCTCTTATAATTGACTTTCGTAAAACTCATACCATATATGTAAAAAGAATAAATTTGTGTAATTTCTTCCTTTTACATATAAAATACATGTTTATAGAAATCACTAAGGACATATCTTACTTTAAATAATCTATCATTGACTAAAACTGTTCTGGGTTCAAAACTGATTGTGTATTGGAAAGTCATGAGGGCATTTTGAAGTATATTATTCAAGAAAATCGAAGAGTAAAGAACCTTCAGTTTTAGGAGTCAACGAATTTTAAACCGAATCTGCACCAGAAAGGAGCAAGGATTTCTGTCTTTTTTGTTTTGTTGTTGTTGTTGCAATATCCTTATCACCTTAGAAATGCATCTGGCATATAGAAGAAAAAACTTTTTGCATGTAACATGAAAGATTAAATAAAAGAGGTAACATAAAAAGATAAATTTTCTATGTATAGAAACTATCAAGTATAAGGACAGAAGTCTTTATGTTTAAATATTTATTACTTTTGTCACCATGATCAACACATTTTGCCTGAGTCATTGATATTAATCTGCAGATGGAGTTGAGGTGACAGGAAGGAGGCCTAGAAGACAATTTAAAAAAAAAAAAACAGTTCAACCCTTTAAGGAGTATGTCACTACTACCTACCTTTGGAATAGCAAGCTTGTCTTTTTCAGAGCTCTCTTCAGAGTCAGAACAGGTATAGTTTTCACTGAGCGAAGTGACAGGATTCACTCTGGGCTTGTGAATGGCCTGGAAGGTGAGCTGTGTGCTGAGCAAGTTGCTCACGGCTCTCAAGGATGTGCACACGTTTGGTGGAAGAGAAGGGTCTGCCAGGAGGTCGGTAATGAGGCCGTGGGCCTCGCCCATGACGGCGATGTCCACAGTAATACTGGTTCCTGAAGACTGGAACACAAACCAAGACAAGATCAGGTAAGAAAAGGTCTGAATTGGAAGGCACAAAGCATTAATTTGAACTTTTTCACTAAGAAATGAATGGGCTGATTCTTTAGGATTTCAGTACAGTAAAATTCACATCACCTATTTCAAATTCTACTAAAATGTGCCCTAGCTGTCATCCTTTTTTGCATTTGCGGCACATTTTTTTAATGCTAGAACTCGGGGAGGGGTCAAGCATATTTGAAGAAATTAAAAAGATGAACACTACTTTTAAAAGGCAAAAAGTTTCAGAGATCTGGGGGAAAAAACTTCATATCACTCCTTATGAAGAGCTCAACATTTTACATGTATGTTCTTTAGGAATTTCACTCCAAAAGCAACATTAATATACCATAAAATGTTATTTTTTAATAATATTTTAATGTGACACTTGAACCTGGTGTTTATTCAATGAATATTTTTGCTGATGGTAGTTATTCAACGAATGTTGTTAGAGACAGACACACAAAAAACTCCATTTGTGTGCTAGTTCACAATCTGTCTCTCTTCTTGTTGTTGGTAAGAATAGAAATTTCAGTTCCGGGATTCGGTGGCACATCTGTCATATTCTGCCAAACTGCCTATCAGAGCAGAGTCATTACTCTGTCCTCACAGCAGAACCGAAGAGCACAAAACACAGAGGCCAGGAAAATACATAGAAATACATAAAATCAACTCCAAAGAGAGAAAAAACAGAAGTATAAAGTTGTACGATTAAAAGAAAATATGAGCGACTATTTTATAATCTTGAAATTACAACATTTAAAAACAATATGAATTCATAAACTGCCAAGGATATTCCTAATGTATCTGACTAAATGAAGGTATAAAGTTCTACATAAGAAAATATACCATAAGCAAAGGACGAAATGGTCTGTGAGAAAATGTTTGCCACACAGAGAAGATAAAACATATCCAAATATAGAGCTTCTAAAATCAATAAAGGATAAAATTGAAAAAGGAAGTGAATAGACAATTCAAACGCAATGTAAATAACCAATATATATAAAAAGCCTCTTACGTCCCCTATAATTAAACTGCAAATCGATATAATAAAACCAACTTTCACTTACAAAATTGGCAAAACAGTAAAAGATTTATAACACCAAGCATTAGTAATGGTTTGCATAAATGAGTAGTGAGGAAAAACAATCCAAAATATTTGGCAGGAAACTTTGCTAAGCCTATCAATTTGTAGCTTAAATGTGTGTATCCTATGATCCAGCAAAACAACATACATATCTGGTCAAAAGAAATACTTCTACAAATATCTAAACATATAAAAACAATAACACAACAGGTATAGCAGTGCTCTGGCAACGACAACCAAAGAATGTAACCCCAAGATGCATATAAGTAGATAAACTGATCTTTTAAAATTGTCATTGTATCTGTATTATAAAGTTGTATATCTTCGTTTAAAAGATGTGGGTAGATTCATAAATTGTTGTCTAGAAAATATCGTTCAGTGGGTGGAAAAGTATGTTGTAGAAAAAGTGAATATATATTATTCTTGTAATTAGAAAAGTATCATAATTATAACACCTAACATCCATAAAGATATCTAGTCTTGCAATACCTATAAGTAATGAATAAACGACTCTGTAAAATTATCATACAGAAAAGTTATGTCTTTTACTGCTAAAATTACAATAACTATAATAATAATGGTAAAGTTGATATTTATTACCCACAAGTCTACAAACGATTAATAGGTACTATAATTACTTTCACTTTCATTAGACACAAATAATTTGCCAAAATCAGACAGGTTGAAAGTGGAAATATCAGGCTGCAATCAAAAATAGCTTGATTCCACAGCTCAAGAGTTGAACCAGCTTGGTGGAAAAAAAAAAACAAAAAACAAAAAACAAAAACAGAAAATCTTAATTTTATGTGCTTAAATATATCTGTAATTACTTAATGCATAATTTAATAATAGTGCCCGTGTTCTCTGATCACAGGCATAAATATCTCTTATGAACCATTATGAAAATTTAAGTGAAATATTAATAATTTTAGGATATATAGTCATGCATATGTCATATTTCATATTTGTGCCTGCAGGGTTAATTTTATTTTTCTGAGCTAAAAGGAGAATTTTACTTTACTTATCTTAAAAATAATTTGTATTGTGTATACTTGAGGCTTACAACATGATGGTATGTGATGTGTACAGATAGTCCAATGGTTACTACAGCGAGACCGATTAACATATCCAGCATCTCACATAGTATTTTTGTGACAAGAGCAGCTGAAATCTCCTTATTAAAAAGAATCTGTAATACAATACAATTTTGTTAACTGTAGTCCTCGTGTACATTAGATTCCCTAGACTTACTCATCCTATACATCTGCTACTTCATATCCTTTGTTCTACATCTCCCCATTTCCTGCCCCTTCCCCTGACTCTGCCCAGGGTAACCACTGTTTTATTCTCTCTCTCTGAATATTTGACCTTTTTTTAAAAATTAAGATTCTACATATAAGTGAGATCATGTAATATTTTTCTGTGTCTGGTTCATCTTACTTAGCATAATGCCCTTTAGGTCCACCTATGTTATGGCAAATGGCAGGATCTCCTTCCTTTTTAAAGGGTGAATGATATCCCATTGTATGTATATACATGTGTGTGCCTATATACATACCATGTTTTCTTCATCCATTCATTCATGGACGGATGCTTATGGTATTTCCATATCTTGGCTATTGTGAATAATGCAATGGACATGAGGATGTAGATATCTTTATGAGGTGGTGATTTTATCTTATTTGGATCATATAGTTCTATTTTCAATTTTCTTAAGAACCGTTATACTGTTTTCCATAATGGCTATACCCATCTACATTTCTAACAGCAGTGTTCTAGGGTTCCCTTTTCTCCACACTCTTGCCAACATTTGTTATATCTTGTCTTTTTGATAAGAGGAGTGAAGTGATATCTTACAGTGGTTTCAATTTCCATTTCCTGATGCTTAGTGATGTTAAACACTTTTCCATACATATATGTCGGCCACTTTCATGTCTTCTTTGGAGAAATGTCTGTTCATGTCCTTTGCCTACTTTTTAATCAGGTTGTTTTCTCCCTATTGTGTTATAAGAGTTATTTATAAAGTTTGGATATTAATTCCTTATCAGATATATGCTTTGCACATATTTTTTCCTAGTCTATCAGTTGCCTTTTCATTTTGTTGATTGTTTCCCTTCCTGTGCAGAAGCTTTTTAGTTTGATGTGGTCCCATGTACTTATTTTATCTCTTTTGGCCTGGGATTTTGGTGTGTTATCCAAAAAATCATTGCCAAGGTCAAGGTCCGAGAGCTTTCCCCCTATGTTCTCTCCTAGAAGTTTCATGGTTTCAGGTGTTACATTTTGGTCTTTACCTATTTTGAGTTGATTTTTGTGTGTGGTGTAAGATAAACATACAATTTCATTCTTTTGCATGTAGAAATCCAACTGTCTCAGCACCTTTTTTCGAAGAGATTACCCTTTCCACCTGTCTCTTCCTAGCACCCTTGTGTAAAATTATTTGAGCATGTATGTTTGAATTTACTTCTGGGCTCTCTATTCTGTTCTACTGGTGTAGGTTTCTGTTGTTATGCCAGTAGCATACTATTTTGATTACTATAGATTTGTAATATAGTTTTAAATCAGAAAGTGTAATGCCTTCAACCTTTTTCCCCTCAGTACTGCTTTGGCTATTTGGGGTTTTTTTGTGGTTTCATACAAATTTTAGGATTGTACTTTTCTGTTTCTGTGAAGATGCCACTGGGATGTTGATACTTATTGCATTAAATTTCTATATTTCTTTGGGTGGTATAAATATTTTAACAATACTTCTGACGGAGTAATGGAATATTTTTCTATATATTTGTGTCTTCAATTTTTTTCACCAATGTTTTATAATTTTCAGTGTTATAATCTTTTTATAATCAGTTTTACAATCTTTCACCTCCTTGGTTAAATTTATCCCTAAGTATTTTTTATGCTATTGTAAATGGGAGTGTTTTTTAATTCTTTTTCAGCTAGGTACTTATTGGTATATAAAAAAGTTACTGATTTTTACCTGTTGATTTTTAATCCTGTAACTTTACTGAATTCATTTGTTAGCTCTAACAAATTTTTTTGTGTGTGGAATCTATTATGTCCTCTGCAAATAGAAATAATATCATTATTCAGTTTTTTAATGTTTGTAAAAATGCCACTGACCTAATGTCCCTTTTAGAAATAAGTATTTTAAAGTGCATCTCTAATCATTATGCTTCTGAAAATCTCATCCAGTGTGGTCCTCTGAAATAGTAATGTTTATTTTTGGCCATGTTGTTCTAATAAATAATTCACTGCACTGTTTCCATACAATTTTGAAATTTTAAGTCAAACTTTGTTTTCAAGACATAAATGTTTTTGACAATGAAATTAAGTTCATTCTCTAGTAATAACTAAAAAGTTCTCTTAAAATGTTCTCAGTACATAAAATCTGTAAGTCTGAAGAAAAAGTAGAACATGTTCATGAGAATTACATGTTTTAAATAAATTATTGGGAAGAACACAAGTCTTTTTATAACTATCAAATTGTGTATCTTTTATAATACATTTTATTTTTTCTTTAAAGTAATAGATGTATGTCTTGTATATACAGAAAAAAATAGTAAAAATTTAAAAAGTAACTTTAAAATAGAAACTGAAAACTCATCTTTATAAGTCAATGTCACAGTTATATAAGAATTTAGAAAATAAGCACATTATGTATTTTGATGCTACTATGCTATAGCTTTTGCAAAAGCAAAGGTCTTTAAGGGAAAACAAAAGCAACATTCAAGCCAAGAGACAAATTATCCGTATTGAAATTGGCTAAGAAACTGAAGTGAACACTTCTACTATTGGAAAAAAAAAAATCTCTTTAGTATCATTAAGTCAGGTCCTCGCTTTACTGTTTTCATGATTCTAGAATAAAATTATGTTACAGTCA